AGCCGCAGGAATCCCCCCTGGCCTCCTGGGGAACCCGTCTGCGGGATTCGAGGCGAATTCCAAGCGTTGGGGCTTGGGGTGGGGACTGGTCCCGCACTGCCAGGGACAGCTGGTCTGAAGGTACCTGGGGGACGGGGGAGTGACGTTCTCAGTGGCTGGCAAACATCAGTTAGCGTCACAGCTGTTTGCTCGGATTAACTTCTCCACAGAAAAGTGGTGACTATTGCCAAGTCGAAGAAGTTTCGGGATAATCACGGGAAGGTTCTGCTGGAGGGTCACAGGCTGATCAAGGATGCCCTGGAGGCAGGAGCTGTGCTGCAGACTCTCTTCTTCAGCACTGTGGGGCACCTGAAGGAGCTGCCCGAGGCAGAGCTGAAACGAGCCAACTTAGTGAAGGTGAAATTTGAAGACATTAAGAGCTGGTCTGACCTCATAACTCCTCAGGGGCTTATAGGTAAGTTGCCTTAGAAACAGTCACAATACTGCTCAAAGGAAAACTTCTTTCACACTTCATAAATGACTCTCTCTTCATAACCTTCACCTAGATATTCTGGGTCAAGAGTGGCGTAATTTGAGAGATTTCCCTTTTCTTTGCCCAGCTGTAAACTGTGAAAGTGGCTCCTAGAGTGCTCTGAAAGTTCTCACACTCATTTTTAATAGTGCGCTGTTTAAGCTCTGCTGGGAAATAGTTCTCCTCAAGTGACAAACTCTTCTGGAGCTTCTCTGAGGCAGTGCTTTTCCTCGTGCCTCTCCAGCACCTCTTTAGTGAGATTTGGCCCAACAAAATCAGACAGCCCTCTTCTTGGGGGTGTGTTAGTCAGATGCCTGTCAGCACTTTTTCTCCTCAGGGATCTTTTCCAAGCCCGACCATGCCAAGATGTCTTACCCTGCAGCTCAGCTAACCAGCTCCTTGCCCCTGCTCCTCATCTGTGACAATATCCGAGATCCGGGAAACCTGGGGACTATTCTGAGATCTGCAGCTGGAGCAGGCTGTGAGAAAGTGCTGCTCACCAAAGGTAAGAGCCTTTCCTTGGGGAAAAAAAGTTTAGGTAGGGGATAAGGCAGGGAATAAGAGGTGCTTGAAGATGTTCCGAAGAGTTTGTAAGCAGTGCCTGGCCTAGACACGATTTCCTGTGGGAAGCAGTGGCTGCTGAATCTGTCTTTGTGGGAGCCGCTGCACTGTCACTGTTTTCTCCTCTGCTGTCTCAGGCTGTGTGGATCCGTGGGAGCCAAAGGTGCTCCGCGCAGGCATGGGGGCTCACTTCCGTCTGCCCATCGTCGCCAGCCTGGACTGGGAATCTGTTCCCAGCAACCTTCCTGCTGGAGTCCAAGTCTGCGTGGCCGACAACAAAGACCCAGGCGCTCAGGCGGAGACTGCGTCTGTGCTGAGGGGAGTCAGCGGGGCCAGCTCTGCTCCCGGGAACTCGAAAGCTCCTGTAGAATCCAAACCCAAGGCTGCTCCTGAGCACAAGGATGAGGAGGGAGCAGTGGGCATCTGCATCCCAGAGCTGGCCACGCAGTACTACTATGAGAACTGGACACAGACTCCAGTGGCAGTGGTGATTGGCGGAGAGACTCACGGTCTGAGTCCAGATGCGCTTCATCTCGCAGCCAGCACCGGGGGGAAGAGACTGGTCATTCCCGTGGTGCCAGGCGTGGACAGCTTGAACTCTGCCATCGCTGCTGGTATTGTGCTGTTTGAGGGGAAGAGACAGTTGCTGCAGAGGCTCAAGCACGAAGACGAAAGGCAGAAGTTGCCTCTAGTGGGCTAAACTGCTGAGGTTTGGGTGCTGAAGAAGCATCTCTTCCCCTTGGCGCGCTGTAGAGTTAATAAAATTGCAGCTCAGGCTGTTTGGTTTGTAGTAAAGGGGTGTTAAACAGCTCTGGCTGGGTTGGAGCTGTGCCTGGACAAGAGCGTGACTCCCCAGGTTAGCCTGCGGGTGTTCCAGCCCCACAGTGATCCTGGTGAGAAGGGAAAGGCTGGCGGGGGGGGACCCTCGCCTTGCAGGCAGTCAGCTCCCCGCTGCCCGGCTTTTCTCACTCCCTCCTGTTGGCAGCCCTGGGCAGGGCCCCTCCAGGCCCACCCAGCAGATCTGGGGGGCCCTCAGATCCCTCCCTGCGGGGTCGGGGTGCAGCCGCAGCCATGGCAGCATTTCCACCAGCCTGGCCAGGATGCTGCTCGTGGATTTGGGGTCAGAAAGGCCAGA